CCCCCCAACCCCCCCCCCCCCCCCCAAATTCATGATTGGACTTTCGTGATTCCATGGGAGAAAACAATTTTTAAAACTAAAATCTCATAAAATCTCACACAAAAAAAAGATAGTCTTACTTTTGAGCGACCAGACTAAACGTCTTACTTTTGAGCGACCAGACTAAACGTCTTACTTTTGAGCGACCAGACTAAACGTCTTACTTTTGGGCGACCAGACTAAACGTCTTACTTTTGAGCGACCTGACTAAACGTCTTACTTTTGAGCGACCAGACTAAACGTCTTACTTTTGAGCGACCTGACTAAACGTCTTACTTTTGAGCGACCAGACTAAACGTCTTACTTTTGGGCGACGAGACTAAACGTCTTACTTTTGAGCGACCTGACTAAACGTCTTACTTTTGAGCGACCTGACTAAACGTCTTACTTTTGAGCGACCAGACTAAACGTGAAAAGAAGTCTAGGTTCAAAAGGGATAAAAAAAACACCCGTTTTACAAAGGTCATCAATACATGACTGTTGTACAGCTTGTGTTACTAGTGACCGTTGTGTCCCCTGGGACCATTATGTCCCTAATGACTTCGTCTAACACATGCCTACACCAACAAATTGTATCGCCTCCCTCCACCTAATCGCCGCTAAATACCACTGGAAAGACCCCCGACCTTCCAACTAGTGCCGTTAGCACCTTGTGCATCCCACAACGACGTCTTTACTGTCTCCGGGAGACGTACTTAGCACAACCCCCGCCCCACAAACATAAAAAAAACCCGACAACTCAGCTTTTAGCGCCCAGGGTCCAAACACCTGTCCTAACACACCTTCTCAGCAACACCCCCCCCCTCTCCCCACACACACACTTATTTTCATCCACCAAAAGTTAGATAACTGTACAGACCCACTCGTCAAGGACGGGGAGGGGGGGAGGGCGTCACCTCTCTAAACACATCACCACGGGACAATGAGAGCATAGTCCCTTGTGTGTTTTACATAAGTCAATATTGGCCCCGGCCTGGGGTCCATTCCTCTCCACGGAGACGACCCGGGCCCAAAATAACTGACTCATGCCCCTTAAGTGCCAGGGCTTGACCCGCCTGACACAGTTACGTCACTGTGGTCATTGGCGATGTCCCGGAGGTCGAGACACGTAATAAACACATAGTGGGGGGGGGGGGGGCGGGGCACCGGGAACATGGTGATTTAAGTTTGACAATACCTGTCTCTAAAAGCATTTTAAGAAGCTTTTTCTCCCCCCCCCCCCCTATTAGTCCCAAAGACTATGTTACAAGAACTACACTTCAGTTTAATTTTATATTTTAATCCAATTCATTCTATAATTATTTTATTTTTTTAATGTTCAAAAATTCTACAATAAATATTTAAGGTCCACCCAGGGCCGGCGCCAGTGTATTTGGCACCCTAGGCGAACCTGTCGCACTGCGCCCCCCACGCCCACGGCAACTAATTATTTAATTAATAGTGCCACCCCCTAAAAATGTGCCGCCCTAGGCGGCCGGCTAGTTCGCCTAATGGTTAAACCGGGCCTGGGTCCATCGTTACGCCGTTAAGTTTGACCAACGCTAACTTCTGACATGTCGCCTGTCCCACTTAACGGTCATCGGTGGCCCGAGGACCACACTAGAGATCGTGACTCGGACCTTAAGACAAACATGGCTGAAAGCCCCCCCCCCCCCCCCAATGCGACCGTTCAAAAAAAAAAAGCAAAGCACATATTAGGATGGCGATGAACAGGGTACAAAGATTTACGGTTATGGATGGGGAGGGGGGGGCGGACAACCCATTTCTGTTCGGCCTTTCCGCTGCTCAACAACACTAACTGCCCCCCCCCCCCAACTGATGCCAAACTGTAGAGTGTGGAGCTTTCAGGCTGGAATTACTGCCGATTGGTCCGTAAGTCTGTAGAGTGCGCATCACTTTTATTTTGTCTCTACGAACGGCCATAAGATCAATGCATCATGGCCGCATTTTAAAAACCACGAGAATCATCAGAGCAGTCTGACACAAAGCATTGCGACTTATTGATCGATCATAAATCAATAATCAATGAAAACAAATTTTTTTTAATATTTTTTTTTTTTTTAGTTTCGTATGAGCCATCAAGAATCAAGTTTCATGCGGCAAGTTATCATGCACACTTGACATCTTCGTTTATCTTTAACTTTAACTTTTCCTTTTTTTTTTTAAATATAAAAAATATGATTTAAAAATATGATTTTCTGGAGGTGGCCACTCTTCACCACAGATTTCAACGCTGAGTTCCCTCCCATCGAAACAAAGTTTGGTCGCCTAGCCAAGTTTTTTTGGACGGGCAACATATTCTTCTATTCCAATGCTCCGCACGTCACGGTGTGTGGCAACAAAATGGTAGAACAGGCCGCATACAAAAAAAAAAAAAAAAAAAAAAAAAAAAAAAAAAATGGAAAAACAGGCCGAAAAAAAAAAAAAAAAAAAAAAAAAAAAAATCAAACTTGCCCAAAGATGAGAGTGCATACTACAAAAAAATTAGTGTGGGCTCTCCACGAACACACACGCTTACACACGCGCACGCATACACACGCGTGGTTGGCACGGAATGCATTGAACCGTTCAGCGTAAACCACACAACCAGCTTTGGGGACACCGAACAAAAGCGTGAAAAGGTCTGCGTTAGGTCCTCTGTTCTTGGCGTTAGGTCCTCTGTTCTTGGCATCGCCGAGAGTTACAAAATGTATCTCTCTGTCATTATTTTATCCGCAGGCGCGTAATCAGCTCCTTGACAATGGTCTGCTGCGATCCCCACAATGCGACGCGGGGGGGGGGGTAGGGAGGGGGGGGGGAAGAGGGGGGGGCTGACAAAGGCCGGATGCTGTGTATACGCACAAGATTCTCTTAAGAATATTACTTGCATCGACTGTCTCGCGGTCTTCACTTCCTTCGCGGAACATCCTGATTAAGGCGTCTCGCCTGCTTCCGCTGCACTACAAGATTAGACGGGAGAAAAACTATTTTGTTGCGGATCTTTTCAATTTTGAAAAGCTGTGACGAGTCACGTGATTAGTTCACAACAATAGGAACTATATTTCACTTTTTTTATATATATTTTTTTTTTATCTTGGGCATCAGAAGAAAATGTTTCCTCCAAATAGTGTAAACATTAAATCTAATTTAGAAATTACTTTCCGTATAGCCAGACAATGTTTTTGATATGTTCCAAAAATGTTGATTTCAATTTTCGTTACAGTTTTGCGGGTATATCTACATAGAAGTGGCCATCTTTTTCTTTTTTTTTTTTTAACTACTAGACAGGGATCACGTGACATCTAATTTCGTATTTCGGAGCAGTGAGGCGTGTGTTTTAAATGAGAGCTCAGTTTACCTGTTGCCCACGCCCACGCTGAGGCACTGTATGGAATTGTTGGTAACTCAACTCTTCGGGTTTATTCCTCGCATGGAAGCACGCCATTGGCAAATAATGTTAGCACGGTCTTATATCCAGTACTTGATTAATCAACGAAATGAGGAGCAAGCAAACATTAATACGCTTCTAATGGTTCGGTTATTTTAAATTATTTTCAATATATTCGAACATTAATAGATTTCTATTTGCTTCGAGTTGAGTGGTAGCAACCCCACACTCATGGTGGCATACAGGCGCTAGCACCCTACAGGCGCCACCACCCTGCAGGCGCCACCACCCTACAGGCGCCACCACATTACAGGCGCCACAACATTACAGGCGCCAGCACCATACAGGCGCCACCACCACACAGGTGCCACCATCACGGATACAACACGGCTCCGGATATGATCCTATCACGGATATGACACCATTTTTATTAATCTGAAAATCAGTCCATCAAACCCAACTTAACAAAGCTCCACTAAAACGATCCACTAAGCTATCCCAAACAACGGTATGGTAAGAAGACACACACAGTCCTCAATGCTCAAATCCCGAGAATAACTTTACTGTCTATACTATTTCTTGACAGTGGGCTCAGCTCTAAGAGGTTTATGAAATTATATCAACTTAACGTAATTTAGTTGGTTTTTTTTGTTTTTTTTTCGGGGGTGCTGTAATCTCTAACCCCTAAAATAACTAATGGCACGCGCTTACCGGTCCGCCGCCCTACCCCCACAAGCTGTACATTTTATCACGTTAGTACACACACAATAATCTAGCGGCCAACACATTTTTAAAGCCTTTTTTTTTAAAGATAAGCGACTTTGCGCGGCTTTGGGGAGCTTAACCTGAGCTTAGAGCTAGGGACTTCCCGGCTTCTGGTTCAATACGGCACGGCATAACGAGAGGAGCTGACTCAGGGATTT